ATTCCAATATATAATTACTGAACGTGAGTCACTTAAAATTCTGTATGATATGTCACCCCTTGGGAAACACCAGATTCAATTATCTGAGATTCTGTCCAGTTCTGTGGAAAATCTGTAATGCTTCAGAAAGTAAATGCCAACAAGAATTCACTTTTTTAATGTGTCTTAAACTTGAGGGTATTTGAAGGGTTGGTTGTGAACTACACTGAGAATGGCACTATCTTAGGATGATTAAGGGCCACAGAGAGGGGTGATATGGGTGCAGGCCTTTAAAATAATGGGATAGCATCTCATTTCAGCCTTACTTCTTTGCCCTTTCCCTCCTCCTCAAGCGCTAAAAACAAAAGCCAGGGAAGACAGAAGACTGACGTGTCTGTTTAGAATGGACATTTTGATGTGGAAGTTCTGACATTTAAGGGAAGAAAAGGGCTGGGAAAGGTGCCTAAAGTTGAGATGATATGTCATACTAGAATTTCCCAGAGAACAAACATAGTAGGGGCTATTTTCCTGATGCCTGCATCTATTTCTGTCCTTATCTTCCTGCTGTCACTGCCTTAGCTGAGACCCCGTCATTTCTCATATGCATCAAGCGCTGTGCAACCTCCTAATGGCTCTTCAGTTTCCTTTTCCATTTCCAGAGTTTTCTGAAGTGAAATTGATGACATCTCTTTCTTGCATCTAATTCTTCAGTGTCTCATCACTGGTGATGAGTGGGATAAAATAGGGGGCATGCAGGCCCTTCATTAGCCAGACTCTGCCCACCCTTAACTAACAGCTTCTACTTTAGTTACCCTGCCAAGTTACTTGTGGTTCCCTGAATAGGCCATGTTCTCTCTTCCCTTACTCTCTCCCACAGACTACTCTCTCTTTGAAAAACATTTCCCACTTCCCAAAACCTTTTGGCTACTGCTGAGGTGATTTTTCAGAACCAGGCTTTGGCTTCACCTCCCCATCAGCCTTAGGGTAAGTGTCTCTCATTACAACCAGCTGTTACTCGTCTGGTTGCCCATGTCTGTCTCCCCCCTAGAGTACACATTTCATCCCTGTACCCCTAGCATTGGGCTTCATGCTAAAGATTCAATAATACTTTATTGAATGAATGAATGCATTATACTTTTCATAGACAATTGCTAGCCCTCAATTTAATCAATTATAAAGTGATATTGCTGAAAAGTATAAAGCTTTTCAAAGTACATTTGGATAAAATAAAGTTACAAGAAGTCGCGAGGCACCCGAGTGGCCCAGTCAGTTAAATGTCTGACTCTTGATTTCAGCTCAGGTCATGATCTCAGGGTTGCGAGATCAAGCCCCTTCTCAGGCTCCATGCTGGGTGTGGAGCCTGGTTAAGATTCTCTCTCTTCCTCTCTCTCTGCACGCGTCCTCCTCCGCCCCGGCCCATGCTCTCTCTCTAAATGAAAGAAAAAAGGAGAAGTCATGATTGAAGGTAAGAGTAGAAGGTACCAATATATTATTGTACAAAATTCATTCTTTTCGTAATTCTTACCATTAGAAACTAGAAAATAAAAGGAGAAGTTTCATTAGGGTCTTGAAACAAAAGGCATTTCTTAGATGAGAATTGGGAATACAGTGGCTTTTTGAGAGACAGATCTAGGGCTTTGCTGTCTTTTGGCCTTTACATATTTCTCCGTCTGCCTTAAAGAGAAGATTTTTGCCTTCAGAAGAGGTCTTTCTGAGCTGCCATTTAATGAGCAACAACAGGTTTATTTTGCATGTGCTCTGATCTATCATAAATCATACTCGCTTTTGAAATGCATAAAGAAAAGCCCTTTTAATGGAATGATTTATTCTTTGATCCCTTAAAGAAAAGAAAAGAAAAACTTTGGCTCTGTGTCAGAGTGGTAAGGGGGCACCTTCATCAAGGCTCACCAGAAACAGAGTGACTGATGCAGGGTTATTTGTGCTTATGGAGCAGTTAAGCAGCAAAGGCCAAAGCAACCAGAATGAGCTCAGCCTAGGGGGCAAAGGTGGTGAGGACAATGATTTGGTGGGTAGGGGATAGGGGGTGGGGAGGAAATAGGTACAGACAAAGGGGCTTTTGAGTTGTAAGGAAGACTCTTCTAGGGCTCATTCATCATGGAAGATACTCCTTCTTCCCTAAATTCTGGGGGATGGAGACAGACCTTCTTGCAGTAACAGCATAGAGCTAAGCTTTTAGGTTTTTGAAAGAAGCTTTGCAGAATTCACACCTTCCTAGGACTCCTGTACTGTATGGATTGTTACGTTAGTCAGCTTAGGCTAAGCTATGCTGAAATAACAAATAAGGCTCAAATTCCAGTGGCTTAAAACAAGTTGGCCAGCTTGCCTATATACTTGCTCAGAGCCCCAAGTAGTTTCCATCTTTCAGCTCTGCCAGCCTGGAGACCTCTGTTTTCAGATGCCTCAGTGGATAAGAGAACATGGAGAAAACACACAGGAACATATCTACCCTCAGGCTGGAACTGCACATATTTCTGCTGACACAGAGGCTGGAAAAAGTAGCTTAACTTTTTTCCCCGGGTAAAGGAAATGGTTAGACGAACACATACCAAGGGCTGCGATGGTTAACATCTCTGTAGATTCTCTGTTGAATCTGAGAGTTGGGAATTAGAAACAGAAATAGCCTGGGCGGTAAAACTGCATTCTGAACTGCAATGAAAGCAAAAAATGTTCTTCAAGCATTGAAGTTTGAACAATTACAGTCAAGGATGGTGGACAAGAACGACAAAAGAATCAGAACAAGAATGGTATTATTACCCTGGTGTAGTGTTGCCCAGGCTGTGTTCTGGGGGACCCGAGTGCTCCTTGAGATGCTGATGAGTGCTCTTTCGTGGAGGCTGGCAGGGGAAGCATGTGCATGTAAGTAGTGGTGAGGCATTTTGTAGTCAGATAAGCCTGGTGGTTAAATAGTTTCAACGATTTCTCTATTATTGGAATTAGGCTTTAACTGGCTAATGAGCTGTGGTGGCCATGATGTGTTCCCTTCAAAAGGCGATGTGAGGGGAACATAACTGATGGCGCGCCCAGCTGTTGCGCTCTGCGGTCCCTTGCTGTGTTTGCGTGGAGGAGGCCCACTTCTCTAGCAGCTCCTGACGACTGGGCAGAGCAGGGATACTAATGGAAGACCATTGCAAAGAGGTGTGGGATTCTGACTGGGGACTTTGGCTCCAGGACTCATAACAAACAGTCTCCCAAATACTTTCTTTCTTTTTTTAAAGATTTTTTTTTTTTTGACAGAGAGAGGGACAGTAGAGAGGGAATACAAGCAGGGGGAGTGGGAGAGGGAGAAGCAGGCTTCCCGCTGAGCAGGGAGCCCGATGCGGGACTGATCCCAGGACCCTGGGGTCATGACCTGAGCCGAAGGCAGACGAGTAACGAGGGAGGCACCCAGGCGCCCCTCCCGAATACTTTCTTAGCACTGTACTACAGTCTGAGTCTCTTCATCTCCAACCCTCACTTCTCCCTTCTCTCCTTCACGGGGCTTGCTTTGTGGTCTGAAGGCTCCCCCTGCCTCCCTCCAGCTCCATCCCCTTTTTTGTCTCTCAGGCAATTTCCCCAATAAATCTCTTGTGCATCTACCATCTTGGTGTCTGCTTTTCAGAGGCCCCAGACTAGCACAGAAGTCTTGTAAACCTGTAAAGGGGGGATAGACAGTGTTTCCCAAATGTACTTGGCCAGAGAAAATGTTCTTTACACAAACCCGCCACGTAAAAAAGGACACTAATATTTCAAGGAACACGGATTGGAAATGCTGCCCTAGAGAAAAGGGATTAATTAATAATTAACCAAGCCAATCTACATGTTAATTTGTATGTTATTTATCATTTGATTTGTACACATATGTTTAAATTCTCTGTTAATTAGTGTAATTCTTTCATTAGCTTACCTAATTACTTCAGTTTTCTGGATTAAAACAATCCTTCAGATGTTACTAAGGACCCAACACCACTCTAGTTATTGCCCTGGGCATCAGGGCAGGAGAACGCTGCAGCCTTCTACCTCCTGTTCCCTGGGGGTATTCTGTTGAATGCTGGTCACACAAATCACCAAGTTAGTGACCATATATTAAGTATTGATGCAAGAGGGATTTCTGGAATCCTTAAGAATGTTATCAGGCATTTAGAGATTTTATTATAATATCTCATTCAGGAGGAACTAAAGTTCTGGTTTCTAACATTTGACAGTATGGAATGCTAAACATTTATAACTCCAGGGCATTGGCTTTTTGAAAAGAATTGAGGGGTGCCTGGGTGGCTCAGTTGGTTAAGCGACTGCCTTTGGCTCAGGTCATGATCCTGGAGTCCCGGGATCGAGTCCCGCATCGGGCTCCCTGCTCGGCAGTGAGTCTGCTTCTCCCTCTCTATCTCATTCTCTCTCTCTCAAATAAATAAATAAAATCTTTAAAAAAAAAAAAAAGAAAAGAATTGAGCCCCCACAGCACATACTAATATTGCATCTAGGAGAATCCTTCCGGTGTTACGTTTTGAAAATTATTCAAAGATTCTTACAATTATCTAAAAAGCAGCATCCTGAAGAATTATTTATACATGCATATTGATAGTAGCATTATTCATAGTAGCAATAGGTGGAAGCAATCCAAGTGTCAATCAGTGGATAAATGGATAAATAAAACGTGGTATATACATACAATGCAGTATTATTCCGCCTTAAAAAGGAAGAAAATTCTAACACAGGCTACAACATGGATTAACTTTGAGAACATTATGCAAAGTGAAATAAGCTAGTCTCAAGAAGACAAAGACTGCATGATTCCAATTTTATGAGGCATCTACAGTAGTCAAACTCATAGAAACAGAAAGTAGAATGGTGGTTGCCAGGGGCTGGGTGAAGGGAAAATAGGGAGTTGTTGTTTAACGGATATAGTTTCAGTTTTGCAAGATGAAAAAGTTCTAAGAATTGGTTGCACACAACGATGTGAATATAGTTCACATTAATTGTACACTTAAAAATGGTTAGGATGGGGCTTCCTGGTCCCCGTCGCAACCATGGCTGAAGAACCTCAGGTTGAATTGTTCGTGAAGGCTGGCAGTGATGGGGCCAAGATTGGGAACTGCCCCCTTCTCCCAGAGACTGTTCATGGTACTCTGGCTCAAGGGAGTCACCTTCAACGTCACCACTGTTGACACCAAGAGGCGGACTGAGACAGTGCAGAAGCTGTGCCCAGGGGGGCAGCTCCCATTCCTGCTGTATGGCACCGAAGTGCACACAGACACCAACAAGATTGAGGAGTTTCTGGAGGCGGTGCTGTGCCCTCCCAGGTACCCCAAGCTGGCAGCTCTGAACCCTGAATCCAACACGGCGGGGCTGGACATATTTGCCAAATTTTCTGCTTACATCAAGAATTCAAACCCGGCACTCAATGATAATCTGGAGAAGAGGCTCCTGAAAGCCCTGAAAGTTTTAGACAATTATTTGACATCCCCCCTCCCAGAAGAAGTGGATGAGACCAGTGCTGAGGACGAGGGCATCTCTCAGAGGAAGTTTCTGGATGGCAATGAGTTCACTCTGGCTGACTGCAACCTGTTGCCAAAGCTCCACATAGTACAGGTGGTCTGTAAGAAGTACAGGGGATTCTCCATCCCCGAGGGGTTCCGCGGAGTGCATCGGTACTTGCGCAATGCCTATGCTCGGGAAGAGTTTGCCTCCACCTGTCCAGATGATGAGGAGATCGAGCTGGCTTACGAGCAAGTGGCCAAGGCCCTCAAATAAGTGCCTCCTGAGACTCCGTCTCCCCTCTCCATTTTCTCCACAAAGGCACCAACTGGTTTCCACGTGGTTATCCAAGGGACACACTCCAAAATGGCCAGTGGCCAGAGAATCCTGGAGCACTTGTGCAGGGCTGGCTGGGGGGCTGAGGGGAAAAAATGGGGAATCTAGGTAAGATTTTTATTGTGGGGTGGTGCGGGTAGGACAATGTATTTCAGTAATAAAATACAGAATGAAAAAAAATGGTTAGGATGGTAAATTTTACATGTGTATTTTCCTACAATTAGAAAATAATCTGAGAATCAGCTTTACACTGATTCTTTTAAGCAATAATGTAAGATTAGTCCATCTTGTGGCAAAATGCAAGCTTCTTAAGAGCAGAAATACTATTTCATCTATTTTATTTATCTTTGCATCCCCTACAGCTTCACTGCTCAAAGTGTGGTCCATGGGTCACAACATCAGCATTGTCTGGGTGCTTGTTAGAAATGTACAAGCACCCCACATTTACTGAGTCTGCACATACTTTTAATAACACACCTGGGTGATTCACATGCACTTTATAAAGTTTGAGAAGCGCTGTTCTACAGCACCTACCTCAGAAATATCAGAGAATATTAGCTTGGCTGTTGTTCATGGATTAGAATCTTCTATTGATAGCTGCATTTAACTTCTTTGCTCTAGGGCTGCTGTGAACTTTAGATTTCACCAATACACATCTGCTAGAAATAAATGGTGAGCCAAGATTTACATAAATTTAAAGTGGGATTTTTAAGCACCTTCTATTTGATTCTCCATCCTGCACTTAGAACAAAACACAACTTGAAGATGGAACCATCTCTGCCACCCTCCCATTTTCTGTGACCACGTAATGACCTCTATGTGGCAGTATAACTCTGAGAAACGTGCGGAAAAGTCAACATTTAGACTCCAGTTACCATTTCTCAGCTCTGAGGTGTCTGTCCCACACCCACGTAGGGGGAAAAGACCATGGGTGAGACCTTTGATTACAGTTGGTAGGCCCTCAAAGCTTTTCAGTCTTCCTTCCCTTCTTCTCTCATCATTAAACTTCACAGGCCAAGCTTGCCAGATCTGGCCATATCACAGTCCTATGTACCCAACCAACTCCTCTACCTCAACCTAGGATGTTTAACTAGAAAGGAACCAAGTTCACATCCAGGACTCTTAGCTCCTCCTCCTAGGACAGCACCTGGCTCGGGTCTGAGGGAGATGGTAGATGAATAGCCCTCACATGGAATCCTTCAGCAAGACTTCTCTTGAGTAACCCCCTCGTGGTGTTTCCTGAGACTCATATGAGCTCCAGGTATCACAATATTGACAGTGGAGGATCTAGGCAAGAATGGTGTGTATCCATGGATACGTGTCCCATGGTTGGAAAAGTCAACACTTAGTACATCCTCTGCACGTTAAACATGCTATACTATCACACAGAGCTTTTGTAGCTCTGGGCTGGGGAAAATAGTCATTGCATGTGCTGACAGGACAACAGGACATGGTAATTCAATGCTACAGTGGCTGGAAAAAGAATTAGTATCTTGTATGTTATTGGACCTACACTTGTCAAAGCACTTTACAGTGTCTCATTTGATCCTCAAAAGACTTTGCAACATCGAATAGGACAGGCGTGATTAGCCCCATTTTATAGAGAACTAACCCAAGTCTTGGCAAGGTTTGAGTTTGTAGTGTTAGTTGACACTACCACTTAAATTCACTTACTTAAATTGGCTTAAATTCACTCACTTCACTCATTCCTTGACCATGAGCAAGTAACTTAATGTCTCTGGGATGGATGCAGTTTCCTCATCTGCAAATGGGAAGGAAAATAATTGAGTCTCGCCCACGAGGTAGATGGTGCATGTGAAGACTAGAGCATAGTGGCTTCCTGAACACAATAAGAGGTGACACCTACTTGTTACTATGATTACTGACAGATCACACAGCTAATGTGTGATCACATTAGACCTAGGACTCAAACCATCTTCTTCAGGTTCTAAGTCCAATGGTCTTTTCACTTTGCAGCAGTGTGCGTGATTTTAGACACATTTCCAGCATCATCTCCTTCAGGAAGCATTTTTCTGATCCCATCCCATTCCTGGCCAAGTGCCCCAACACTCTTCCTAGTTGCATTCTGTACATCACTAGCTCTCCACACTGTGTGTGAATCCACTGATTGTAAGCTCCCTCAGAGCTGGGATCATGCCTCCTTATTGGTCTTGGTATCACCAGAGCTAGATCATCGCCAGCACATAGTAAGCACAGTGTTTGTTAACCTAACTCCAGTATGGCTTAGTGATGTGGATTTTGATAGGAAGCAGACTTGCATTCAATCTTTGCAGCTGAGATCACACTGTATCCCCCTCTGCCTGTGTTTCTTTGCCCTTTTGTCTTTTTTAGCTCTTCTCCTAGAGGCCTATTTATTATCTATGTCTATAATTCTCCAATTCTCATGCAGAGTTTGAATAAAATCACAGTTTAGCGCCAGCTGTGTAGATTTCTACAACCCAATATGAAGCTCTTGCTTGCCGCTGAGAAAACACACAGATGCAATTTATAATCAGATTTCAGGGGAATGCAGCACGTTGTTAAGGTTTCATTTCTGGCCAAACAGGAGGGAGGAACTAAAAATGGGACTGCTAGAACAAGATGAAAATGTCAGGTGCTTAAAAGGAAGCGCAAAACTCAGACTTCAAACAACTAGATGATGCCACAACAGCCTTTTATTTATTTTTGCTTTGTCTGTCTAATTTGGGGGAAGTGAATTATGTTTGAGCAAATCAAATTCATTGCAGATTATACGTATATGAATACACAAAGATATACACACACATATGGATATAGATGTACGTATGCTTTGTTTTCTGGAATTAGAAATGTTCATCCTATGTAGCAAAGCCTCGACATACAAGCCCATCGTGTCATTTAATCGGTGTTATTACTACAAATAACAAATAAATTATTCAAATTTCTTACTGTGATATAGTAAAGGTCATAATCACAACCCATTGTCAAGCATTAGCTACTGCTGTTGTATACCACACATTGAAGGATGTGACCATTAGTCATTTATGAAATGGATCTCCATTCTAATAAATTAAGCAGTTTTAAGGAGGAATTTCATAAGTTTAGGGCAGTATTTCAGGGCAACAATTCATTAAACAAGTATCAGCAATCTTTTTCTTCCATACTAGAAATCTTGTTGCTTTGGACAATATATTGAAAAAATAGCTTCTACTATTTTTGCAAGTCATCCATGAGAAGAAAAAAAACAAACAAACAGTGATTGCTCAATTTGAAACTTCTAAAAGGATGGAATATAATATTTAGAGCTAAATTAATATATGAAATACAAATAAAGGCTTTCTGGATTGGTACAACTATTTTTAAGTTCTTCTATCCTTATGAGAATAACAATCTTGCTTAATTTAAAACATCACACCCCCTGCATTTCCTTAGTTTGAGAAAAGATAAGCAGTTTGACTTCACATTATTTGGCAAGAGCATGGTTAGCTGATGAAAGGTGGGATGTGACATGTTAGTCAATGACAGCCCAAGATAACCATGAGATCATCAGAGTAGTTTTAAAATCAATTGGTAACACAGTCCCATGGCGAAGTCAAGGGATAATTTTCTCAGACACCTAATGTTTCAAAAAGTGTTACACTATTAATTTTGATTATGGTCGTAATTTAAACTGGCCTCCAATTTAAAAATGATTACATAAAAGTACTGATTTGGTGTCTGAGACACATTTCCTCAGAAAGCACACTGAGGTGAAATGAGCAGTTTTTAAATGTGCAGTGTACATTGTCTTCACTTTAGAAAACAACTAGGTAATACATTCTTCTCTTATGGATGCTAGCAACCCAAAGCTTTATTACATTTGTCTTTACGTTAATATTATTATCACCTAATTTCTGATACTGGATTAGCTGCAGTATGAGAAAAAAGAAAAGAAAGTTGTCTATTTTCTGTGAGTGACTCCAACAATCCTCAGTCTCAAAAAGAGAAATGCTGAAAACATTAACACCCGAGTTCTGCCATCGGGCCTGAACATGCTCTTCTTTGACTGTGTGGTTAGAGAAATTTGCAATGAGAACAAAAACTGCTTGACATCCTTCTGGTGTTTGCCCTTCTCTGTTTGCCCAGAGGCCAGATTTAATTTGAGTGATAGCTCCTGGGGTCTCAGTTTATGTAATTTTCATTGAGGTAAGAGAAAGATGGAGGAAGCACTCCAGGTTTAAGAGATGTCCAAGCTTTTAAGTCACCTGGGAGACTATCAAAAAAGTTCCATGTTTCAGGGGTTCTGGAAGGCAGGATTCTAGTCCAATTTGGAGAAAGGAGAACAAAGAATGAAAAAAAAATTCCAAATGAAAATAATCGAAGCCAAAACTCTGTTGGGAATTCAACAGTACAGTTCAGGAAATCTGTTTGAAGTATGAATAATAGGTTGTTGTTATGCGTAGTCTTAAAGACTCTCAGCGGAGCCCCGATCCAATCTTCATTTTAGACTTGTTTTGTCCCTGGACTCCTAACTTGTTGTCACTGTAGAATACCAGACTGATAATTGCCACAGCTCACTGAATCAACTGGGATTTTCCCACTATTTCTTAGGAGAGGTAAGAATGTGAGGAGGTGAAAAAAGGACCTTAGTCAGTGATGTGCTACTAACTGTTTAACAACTGGTTCCGTGAGGTGGGGTTGGGGCGTGGGGGAGCATGCCTCTATTTACAGACATAAGTTTATTATAAACCATACTGGTGTAAAGGATATGTAGCACACAATTTATTAATAATAATAAAATACGTAATAGTCTTTGTTGTAAATCCCATACAGCTAATTGATTCTTACAGAATATTTTTGTTAATTTGTGCCAAACTCTTATACCTATAACCAATCTATAGTTGCAGTTGAGAACCAGATATGGTTCTTACATGAATGTTAGTGGATGTTTTCATTTAAGTCAGTGATTAAGACTAAGTAAAACAAAAAAGACGTATCTTGGAACTCACTTGTCAATGATTTGAGTACTGGAGGAAAACTGGAAGAATATCTCCTCAATTTTTTATTCACAATGTAATAACCAGACACAACACGTTTAAAAAATTTAATCTGTATTATTTAAGTTTTCTCTACCACTTTCTTAAGTCCAAACCAGGGATTGGCCAACGTTTTCTGCAAAGGGCCAGATAGTAACATTTTAGGTTTTTTAGTTCATAAGGTCTCTATCTTAACTATCTCTATTTGTACAACCTGGCCATCACAGTATGAAAGCAGCCAGAAGCTGCATGTAAGCAGATAAGCACGGCTGTATTCCAGCCAAACTTTATTTGTGGACACTAAACTTTGAATTCAATGTAATTTTTATATATCCGGAAATATTTTTCTTCTTTTGGTTTTTTTCAACAATTAAAAATGTAAAAATCATTTTTAGCTCATAAGCCATACAAAAACAGGCAGTGGGCTAGATTTGGTTTATGAGCTGTAGTTTGTCATTCCCTTAATCTTGTCCGGCCACAGAACAGTAAATTAAGCTCTGATTTGCAGCATTTGCCAATCCTGTGGTATAAAGATTACCACTATGGCTGATTTCAAGCTACCAATGTGACACCACCGAATGTTGGGAAGAGATGAGGAGTGGCACAACATTATATTGTATTTCCACCCCATACATACAATAGGTAAGAATAACCTCAAGAGCATAGATCATAGTAAAATAATTTGAAATTCTGAGTTTTGAGTATTTATTACCTTTTATATTGTTCACTTATTTGTAAGATTATATGATTTCATTTTTAATAATGGCAACAACCAACTTGCAAAATTCTCAAAAACTTACCAATTGGCTTCTGCAAGTTGGTACAAGCTGGTTTCCCAAACCACTACATTTAGCACTTATTCTAGGGGATGCTGCAACTCTTGACTCTATATTCCCCCACCAACACTGATTCTTCTTCTTCTTTTTTTTTTTTAAGAATTTTATTTATTTATTTGAGAGGGACAGAGAGAGAGAGAGAAAACAAGCGGGGGAAGGAGCAGAGGGACAAGCAGACTCCCCGCTGAGAAGGGAGCCCAATGTGGGGCTCAGTCCCAGGACCCTGAGATCAGGACCTGAGCCGGAGGCAGACGCTTAACCAACTGAGCCACCCAGGTGCCTCAACACTGATTCTTCTACCACAGAAGCAGAATTACCTTTTAGAACTGTCCGCAAACTAGAGAGAGTGCAAGGAACCCTAGGCCTTGAGTCCATCTAAGAAGCTTTTGCTGATTCTGCCTTCCACGTAGAAATGAAATGATGGACACCTTCATGGCCACAGGTACAGTGGGTCTTGACTTATCTCCCAAATGGAAGAATTGTTATAATAGTCATAATAGCTGGCATTTCTTGAGTATTTACTCTGGACCAGGCACTGTTCTCAACTTTTACCTGTCCCAACTCATTGGATTGTCACTCAACCCCAAGATGGAGTTTCCATCATCGTCATTTACATTCGAGGATAACGAGACACACAAACGTGAGGCTCCTTGCCGAGGTTACAGATGTGGAAAATAAAAAGTTCCAACTTCCCTAAACGCTAGCTCATTTTCTCTCTAAATTGCACTTGCGGAGATCAAGTATCTGTATTTTATTATTTACTTATTTATCAATCCAATAAAAGATTATCAGTAAAATTCAGTAGGTCCCAAACTGGACCATCATCTTTCCTCCCCAAATTTGTTTCCTCCGTTCTCTTTTCCACGTGCTTGCTGTTCCTGGTACTGACACGACACTAGGCACCCTGGCATCTTGGACTCTTTCCTCCTCATTCTACACAGCTGCCAATCCTGTCAATGGAAACTCCAATATTACTTATTGGGCCTTCTCCTTTTTATTTCCATTCTCCTTCTCGTTCATGACTTCGGTACCTCTCACTCAGATGATTACCGAAGTCCCCTCACCATCTCCAAGTATTTGTTCCAAATGACATACTGTGTTGCTAGAACATGGTACCAGTCTCTTGCTCATAAGCTCTAATGATTGCCCACTGCCTACTCCTCAAAGCTTTCCCCTTCCTCCTCCTCTTCACTCATTTTAAGCTGCAAGCATACAGAACTTTTCACCATTTTTCGCAGACACTCCATGCTTGACCCACCTCCACGCCTTTGCTCAAGCTGTTTCTTTTGCTTGCAGTGCCCTTCTCCATAACTCTGTATGCCTGCTCTCTATTCTTTTTTTTTTTTTTTTTCAGTTTAAATGACCCAAAATTTCCTTGGTCTCCCAGCCAGAAAGAGCCTCTCCCTCTGCTGAAGTCCCATAGCATTTTATCTACCTGTGCTTTTCTTGTGGCACTTTTAGCTCTCCCCATCCTAATTATTCTTTTTTTTAAAGATTGTATTTATTTATTTATTTTAGAGGGGTGGAGGGAGTAGAGGGAGAAGGATAAGCAAACTCCACACTGAGCATGGAGCCCAACACAGGACTCAATCCCACGACCCCGAGATCATGACCTGAGTTGAAATCAAATCGACTGAGCCACCCAGGCGCCCCCAATTATTCTTATTTGTTGTTTCTCTTATCTCTCCCGCTTGACTCTGAATTCCCTGAAAGCATGATTAGTTTTCCATCTATCCCCTACGGTTGCTTGTGCACTAGGTGCTTAGCCAATACCAGATGGGTGAATGAATAAAATACAGCAAAGGCAACCTCTCACCACTTACTATTAATATTGTTTAATATTCCTTTTGTGCAACATACCATGCACAATATAAAGCTGCATTGTCCAACATGGTAACCACTAACCACATGTGTCTGTGGAGCACTTGAAATGTGGTCTAAGTCCAAAACGTACACTGGTCCAAATTGAAATGTGCAATAAGTATAAAATATATACTGTACTTTGAAGTCTTAGGATAAAAAAAAATCTCAGTAGTTGTTTTACATGTTGAAATTATAATGCCTGTAATACACTGGGTTAAATAAAATATAAAAATTATCACCTGTTTATTTTTGCTTTTAAAAATGTGACTACTGAAAAAAAAAGTAAAAATGTGACTACTGGAAAGTTTACAGTTACATACATGGCTTGCATTATATCTCCACTGGAAGCTCTGTTATAGAGTGGACTCATGATCCCCTTGAAACGTCTCTGTTTTCTAGACTGACAGTGTGTTGTCATGGAAAGGGTTCTCAGAGCTTGTTCCAGTTCCTTAAACTTTTGGAGGCTTTGTTTCCTTGATTTTAAATTAGGGGTAACTGTGCCTTCCTGACAGGTGGTTTAATAAGGTAATATACATTAAGCTGCCTAACACTTTGTAGGTACTGGGTAAGTATGGGTTTTTTCAACTTTCTGGGCCAGCACAAACATACCACATGCATCGTTCCCACCCATCATTGTCAGTATATTAGTATCACTGCACTGACCAGTACTCACCATTGTTGTAGGTCAGCTCTATATATCTTTCTATTATCTCTTACTGTTGCTTTAAGTCTCATACCCCTAGCAAGAATACATGGGAAATGCAATTGTTAACCTGAAAACAAGGAGAATTTGGAGACCTTATCCTGCTTACATTTTCAGGGTCTGGTTCCAAATTATAATGTAAGCAGCCTGAGGCTCACCTCTCTGGAGGAAAGAGATGTCCACATCTGCCACGTTGCTCAATTTGAGGGGGTCGATTCACATTATACAGTATCCTATGTTGTACACCAACAGTACAGTGTGAATGGTCCTTTCTGGAACTGTGCAACAGTGGAATATTGAATAACTTGCTGTTCTCATTGGTATTATATGATTGATGTCGGGGGGAGTAGGGAGATATGTACAAATTGTTCTTCATTTTAGGCAAGACCACGAACCTAGGTTTTGAGGTCCTTAAAGATTACAGGGTAATTCTCAAAAAAAATGAAAGAATTGTCAATGCTATATATGTGTCAACATTATTTTCAGAACAGATATTACCATTATAATATACTGATATTAATACTAACCAAGGATTTCTGGGAAAAATTTCCTTCATCATTAAAGGATAGAGTTGTCACTGCTGTCACGTTCTATGGGGATGCATGTCCTGCATCTGCTTGTCTCCTTCACAGAAGGGCTTATATATCTACAGAAGGTGAGGTCTTCACAATGGGAAGAGGAAGATTTTAGTCTTCATTATCAGTGTAGAACAAGTAATTTTAGATCCCAAGATAACCTAACAATAGAATGATGATGGTGTTTATCATCTTGGGCTGCTTGTGCATGAATATTATTAATCATCAACTTAATCCTGAATATCTTGGGACTGCATCAGAGTTCCAGGATTTCGTTTCTTAATGTCTTCGTTACAGCTGTAAATCTCAAAATAAATACAATAATTACAAGGAAGCTTCAGCAGCTGGGGCAATTAAATGCTACTTGCCTTCTGCTATGCAGAGACTTGCATTAAGCAAAATGTGTGCTCTTCATTACAAAAGAATTCTTTACAGGTAAATGTTCCACAGTAGAAATGTCGCTCCTTCTGCCAAAGGGAGCAACTTATCAGGAAGGGTGCCATCCCTGGGGGTCCCTGGATATCCACATGGAGATGCTCAAGCTCAAATGTGAAAGAGAAATGGGACATGAAATCTTCAGGTCCCTGGGGCTCCACTAATCAGATGATTGGGCACAAAGATGGGTTTTCTCTTTTCAGATTGAAGATGTATTGCCACGGAAAATCAACCAAGTAATCAACAAATATTTACTGAAGATAAACCATCATCGTCCTTGTCATCAACTACAAAAACTTTATTTTGTGTGTAACACACACATTACCCGGATTAGACCACAGAAGAGCAAAACTCTAGATTGTAATAGGGGAAACTAAATATGACTACAAAGATGATAACACATAAATTTCAACAGAAAATACTATACAGTAAGAGATGTAGGGTAAGAGATATAGGGATAGCCACTTTAGTGGGCATTATTCTAGAGTCATGATATGTTTAATAAGAAAGATAAGGACTGATCCCTGTGCTTGGGGAATCGCAGTTTAATTGGGGGATGAACTAAACATAAAACCGTAAGAAAGCAATAGGATATAAAGAGCTAAGTTACAGATGCAGAATGAAAACTTGTGAAGATTGGAAAGAAAAAAAGAGAGCAGGCTGTATGGTGTCAATAGTCAGGGGTGGCTCCATGGAGGGGAGAGAGTGCTTTAGAAATCCTTTAAAGTCAGAGACAGTTTGGATAAATGAAGGGGAGAAGGGAGAGTTCAAGGCTTCAGGTGAAAATATCTTCAGTTTTGGTAAACTTTGGAGAGTTGGTCAGCAACATTTATTCAACATCAGGTTCTGATGGAGGAACTGGACTATTTTGAATGGGAAATGAAGAACAGGTCCTTATGTCTATAACTGCAGGTTCTACTGATGGGCACACTCTTGGGTTTGGAAGTCATCCTTCTGTTCGTTCAGTAAACGCTGACTAAGGACCTGGTATACACTAAGATTATACTAGGCTATATTAGAGTATTCCACATCAAGGATATGGAAAAGTTAACAGGTTTAATTACATACAATGTGGTCCATGCTCTTACAAGGACAAACACAGAGTTTTAGAGGAGAACCCCCAAACTCAGGCTTGGGAAGTCAAGAAAAGTTGAGATGTGCAGAATAAATAGGGGTTATCCCGGCAAGGGACATGGGATTGTAGGAAGCATATCCAGATGGCATGAATAATTTGGGTAAAAAGCTGACCTGGCTAGGTTTAAGAACCCCAGGTTGTTCTGTTTGGCTGGAATGAAGAGGCAAGAGTTGAGGCCAGGCATATAGGCCAATGCCAAATGGTAAAATACTTTCAAGCAGTGATAAAGAATTTGGACTTTGTCCTGAGGACCGTGGAGAGTCAGTGAATAATTTTAAACTGGGGATGGACATGATTGCATCTGTTTTGAAACCTCATCCAGGCTGCAGTGTGGAGAATGGATTGGATGCTCCAGGGTCAAAGCTGATATTATCATATAGCATTTTCATAACCACACTAAATGAGAAAGGGAAAAATGTGTGTAGTCTAGTCTCCTCTGCCCATGCCTATTGTCTGCTTCTTGACTCAAGATTGCAGTCTTTATCCTTAGAGGCATGGAATTCTGATCCTCAATATCTACAAGAAGGCTTTCCTGATTCTACCTGGTTCTACCCTAGCAATGGATAGATGACTGCTCAAATTTCTGTCTGCTCAAGTCCTAGCCTGATCCGAAAGGAGACCACTTGCTAACACATATAACAGTCATATAATTCAGCACAATTATGTTGTGGAGGACAAAACATCAGGGAATTATAGTGATTCAATTTAATATCTGCTGAAAGCTTTGATAAAGGTTTATGTGGCTGTTCAGAGAAATTGCATGCGGTAAGAAAGCCATTGCCATAACCACTGAAGAACACTTGGTATTTTGACAAAATTTAAAATGTCCTCTCAGGAAAGACTCTATTCTTCCCTTGAATAACTTTTTAGATCTTGAGGTAAAGGCAAGGGATATGTGTGGTAAGGAATTATGTTCATATTATACACAGCTCTCAGCTTGTATTCCGGGAGCTCCAAATTTCTTTTTTCTTTTCTTTTTTTGTTTCAGTCAGTATAAGAGCAAAATTGATCTGACTTCACAAATTGTGCTTCTAGCAAATTTTTAAAAGTACTTAAAATGTTATCTTTGAAAATCAGATAATAAAACGGGACATCTGTGCATTGTTTTTATTCTGGGCATCCCAGCAGCCTTCCAGGTTAATAGAATCTATGTGTGATTGCAGATGTTTAATATGCATAATTAATTAAACGCTGATCCCAATCATCATGCTGCCAGATATAAATACTATCTGGGAAGGGCTGTTTCATAAGATGACAAGTCTAATAGTGCAAATGTTGCAACACCATTCAGAGGAGGAAGGAAGCCATTCTGGAGTTTTACTAAAAATAAGATGCTTGTACTGAAAAAGGAAATTATAAGTGCATGTTCTACCCACCTAAGTTGGCCATCTATTCCATTCCAAAGAGTAGCACTCACTTCCAAACCACTCTCTGAGATAAAAGGAGCTGCAATTGAGGAAGAGTAAGAAATAGACAGATCTTCTGTTATTTGGATAAATGATCCTTTCTCCTTTCCTTTCATATAATTGCACTACTTGAATTGAATAACAAGAAGTTAGTGGATTAAATAAACATTAATAAGAAGGCTTAAGCATAAGAAACAAAGGTTGCATCCTGCCGTATTTAATATGTGCTTCTTAAAACAGATATACACATTTAATATTACTTTATGAACAGATATTTTTCAGTTGCATTTTGGGAGCTGTATTATTGTTTTGATCCATTACTTTTAGGTTCTTATCCTAACTGCATGGAGCTATTTAAACATGAGAAAAAGCAGTTTATTGGAGAGTATATCCCATTGAAAAGCAATTTATTTCTAGCATGGCAAGGATACTAAACTTCCTTATTGTTGGCACATTTAATAGATTTTTAGAATCCTAATGTTTGAAGCTGAACCGAAAGTGGAATATTTTCAGGGGAACAAGAATTGAAGTGGATAAATCACTCCTGAGAATTTTGCAGCAACCCAGGTGAGAGATGGTGGCAGGAGAATAGGAGATGGTGAGGAGTAGGTTGACTCCAGATATATTTAGAAGGAAATGGTGCAAGAAAAAGAGAGGACTGAAGGATGATTCCAGCATTCTTTTGAGCTGCTGGATGGTGGTGGTGCTAATAAAAGAGATGGGGAGGGGTGCTTGGGTGGATCAGTCGGTTAAGTGTCTATCTCTTGATTTTGGCTCAGGTCATGATCTCAGGGTCTGTGAAATTGAGCCCAGGTCAGGCTCCACACTCAGTGGGGAGTCTGCTTGAGATTCTCTCTCTCCCTCTGCCCCTTCCCCCTCATACAAGCGCGTGCAAACCTGCTTGCTCTCTCTCTCTTCTCTCCCTCTCT